GGCCCATTTATCCCCTTTTCCTGTTTTAAAGGGCAAAAAACTCTGCGCGGGTGAGATTCCAACCACAATCTCCTCGTTCGAAGTTATTCCCTTCGTTTCGAATTACTTGTCGCAGGTATGGATGTATCTAGATGCATTTTAGTTCTAGATACATCTATGTCTGCGACGAGTGGACAAATATCTCAAGTATTTTTGAGGCCTGGATTGGTAATGCTGCCTCAATGGGTGGTAGACTCACCTTGCTAGACTCTGTGGTCAGCCAGATCTCCCTGTACCATATGTCCATGTGGCTCATGAACAAAACGTTCATTGAAAGGCTAGATAAGCATAGACGTAAATTCTTCTGGCAAGGTTGCAACATGAAAAAAGCAGTAGCATCTAGTTAAATGGAATAGGATATGCAGATCCAAAGACAAAGGTGGTCTTGGGGTCATCTCTATATATGGCTGCTAAAATGATCAATATTAAATCCGGGGACTTGGCTAGAGTTTGGAAGGACTCTATCAAGGGTTCACTCCCATTTCGGGAGCAGTTCCCCATTCTTTTTGATGTGTGCAATGACCAGGACTGCACAGTTGACAAGTTCAAGTTTTTGAATGCTCAAACCTCCTTCAGACGTAGACTCAACCCTGAGATGCCGAGGCAGTGGGGTGAAATGAGTAGAGTCATATCTGAGATTCAACTATGCGAGGGGGGTGATCAGGTGTTCTGGGGCTTTAATGGCAGCGACAAATACACCACTAAATCCATGTATAAATGGCTGGAAAACCCTTTAAGCGGTTGCCATTATAAATGGATTTGGAAAGCAAAAGTTCCTCTGAAAATCAAAATCTTTATGTGGCAGTTGGCCCAGGATGCTGTGCTAACGAGGCAAGTGATGAAGAAAAAGAAGTGGCCAGGAAATCCTTGTTGTTCGTTCTGCAATGAAGTAGAAACTTCACAGCATTTGTTCTTCAAGGGTCCTGTAGCTAGGGTGGTTTTGGCGCTGTGTGGGGATGGTTCTGGGAACGGATAGATGTCCCAGCAACCAATGACAATATTATGCTTGGTGCTACTCTTTTCTCTCTACTGGAGCAAAGTTCTATACTGTTGATCTTGCTGCGGCTTGTTGGTCCATTTGGCCGGCTCGAAAGCGGGCAACTTTTGAAAAGAAGCAAATCAAAACCCCGTTTGAGATTGTATTTGCTATGTGCTCGTTTCTCTTATATTAGACAGGGTTACAACAAGAAGAGGATGACAAGGAGCTTCGCGCGGGGGCTGAGGTACCCAGGTCAAACACGATGCAGATGATGAAGATGTGCGCAGCAAGCAGGCGTCCGATCGCGGGGGAATAACTTTCAAGCTTCTTCATCCGAGTGAAGCTGATGGCGTTTTGGGTCTTCATATGTCTGTTCGTGGTCTTGTTTTGGGTCTAGACTGTTCCTAGAGTTTGTGTCAACTGTTCCTGTAGGCAGATTTTATATTGGCGTTGTTAGGTTTTCGCCCCATGGCACTCGTCTCAACGTCGGGCGTGGTGCAGTGGGTTTCCTAGCAATGCCCGAACTCGCTTTACCTATTTCCCTCTCTCTGAATTGTTTCCCGGAACTGATGTATTTCCGTTCATATGCAATGGAAAGGGGTTAAAGCCCGGTTCAAAAAAAAAATTTCCGCGACGAGTAATTTGGAACGGAGGGAGTAGCTTGGATAACCAACAGGACAACCAACGTCATGCGATTCTTTACTTCCCTTTCCTTCTTTTGTTCCATGCTCTCCTTTCTTTTACCTTATATTTTTTTCTTGCTCCTCTTTTTAAAAGATACGTGAACTTTTTCACAAATTCGTTGAACTTTATTCAAAACCAGTGACCTTCTTAAAATCCGTGAACTTTTTTACAAAACTGGTGAACTTTTTTCTGTATTCGTGAACTTTTTCTGAAAATCCGTGAACGTTTTTTCAAAATTGATGAACTTTTTTCAAATTCGTGAACTTTTTTTGTCAAAATCAATGAAGTTTTTCCAAACCAGTGAATTTTTTCCAGAATCCGATGAACTTTCATCAAATTCGTGAACTTTTTTGTCAAAACTGACAAACTTTTTTCTATACGTGAACTTTTCTTCAAAAATCCCTTGAATGTTTTTCAAATTCATGAACTTTTTCGACTTTGTGAACTTTTTTCTGGGAAACTCGTGAATTCATTTTTCAGAATCGATCAACATTTTCAATATTCATGAATTCTATTTCATATTTACATTTTCTTTTTTCGAAAAATCCTAACTGGAACTGAAACAGCGGTAAAATAGCGCCAGTTTCAGTTATAGGACATCATATTGATTGTGGTGCAGTGGTTAATGTTCTACGCCTGTAGATGTTAGCCATCCTGTTTTGTTTTTTAACATGTTGCTGGATGCGACCGATCCTGGGCCGGCCCACTATGGCTCGCCTTCGAGCGCCCTCTAGCCTAAGCGGCGCTGAGGCTGCCGAAGTGGGCCTCTCGATAGATAGATTCGATGAACCACTCAAAAAACATCTCCTAACATTTAACGCTTACAATATCGTTGATCCCTGATATACTCGAAAATGATATACTTATGGATGACTCTTACAGAATTAATCTTACGGACTTACGTGTCAACTCATAATTCACTCCTTCCCCCTGAATTTTGGGGTGAGGTCCTCCTTCTTCCCAAATAGATAAGTACACCTTTGTCTATAGCTTCCAATCCGTAACAAAAGTTTGTAGCTGTAGCAATGCTGCGACATACCTATCGTCGGTGCTGTTCATACCACCTTACATATGTACTTCCTCCGTCCGATGTCAACTATTGACAAACGGAGGGATATTTCACAAATAAACAAATAAAATAAACACATAATATCATAATAACACAAAAAATGGAAAAAGAAGAAAAAAATGAGGGAAGAACCCGGCATGGGCCAGTTCAGTCCGGGTTCTTCACCATACTGGTTTTGGAAAGGTTCTAGAAGCTTTCCCGGACCGTCTTTTTCTTTTTTCATTGTTTTATCCC